GTGTTCCCTCTCTCGCTGTCTCTGTCAAATAAATAAATAAAATCTTTAAAAAAAAAAATTCTACTTGCTCTGTGAAGTCTTTCCTAGTTTACTCAAACTTTCTATGAATATTCACGTCATTTCTTACACCCTACCACCTAGAACATTCTGCCTTGTATAGGTGGATTTGTCTCCCACCCCCACATCCACTAGACTGTAAACTCTTTGAGGGCAGTTCATACATCCAACACATGTACACAGAAGAACAAAAACAGTTATACATTTATGAACCACTATATAAAATGTACAAGTTTAAGTCACTATGTCTCATATATAGGAAGAGGGAAAATGGCACGAGAATTGAGTGTTAACAGAACATCTTACTTTTGATTTATACCATAACACTGGCAAGGAAAGCAATAAAAGGGGCAGCAGTAGGAATAATCATTCATCTATGATGAAGCGTTCTAATTAGACATCCAAAAGAAAATCATAAACTACTTTGAAACAATGATTATAAGTATTAGAACTGTGTAGTAATGGATAATCTGAGACCTCTGGTGCTGGGTAATATAGCACTATGATTTGTTCAAAGTAACAAGCTCAAATTCTGAAGTCAGACCACCTGATTTGAATCTCAGTTCCCCTATCTTTTAACCATGTGGCTATGGACAAGTTACAATATGCTCCAATATTCAATAAGAATTTACTAAAGAATACTATGTTCTAGCCACTGGGGATATAAAAAAGAATAAAACAAAGTTCCTGACCTCAGGACCTTGCCGTCTAGTGGGGAAGACAAGACAATAAACAAATAAATACAAAAAGTGTAAAAAAAAAAAAAATGCAGAGTAAGAGAGCGAGTGACCAGGAAGGCCATTTAGGTAGAACCTGGGAGAGACTTCTTTGAGGAGTGGCTTTTGAATAGAAAGGGAACAGAATAAAGGAAAGGAAAAAGCCACATGGACCTCTGGAAAAAAGAACATTCTGGACAGAGGTAGAAGCATGCCTGACATGAACAGGGAACAACAATGATGACCATGTAGCTGGACTGGCATGAACTAAAAGAGTAGTAAGAGATGAGGAATCAGTTTTTGAATGACCTTGCGGGCCATGGTCTATGTAAGACTTTTTCCTAGTGTGACAGGAATCACTTAAAAAAGTCTATGAGCAGAAAGACATGGTCTAACTTAAGACTGCAAAAGGCTCATCCAAATTGCTGGATAGGGCATTAAGTTTAAGAAGGAAGGCAAGGAGACCCAATTGGGAGCCTACTGCAAAGTAGTCTAGGCAAGAGGATGGAGGGTTGCACTTAGGTGGTAGGGAAGATGAATTTAGAGAATATTTTAAAGGTGGGGAGAACAGTCAGTATGCTGATGGATAGTATGGGGGGTCATGAACTCTCACTGGACCTACAGTCCCAATTAACCTGGCTAATTCATACACTGGTGAGAAATACCTAAACAAAGAGAGAAGGTGTTATAGCTCAAGCCTAAATATTAGTTTTATCTGGTGCATACTACAAACATAAATGACGTATAATTGGGTAATGGATTTTTTTCCCTCAACAATATTCTTGAATAATCATTTTCTTCTATCAGTGCATTTAAAACTGCATCATGAACTATGAATAAAAATGTTCAATTTAGGAGTTCCTGGAGGTAAAACTCATGAAAGTGTGAGGGCGTTTCCTACCCCTGCTCCCCCAATGACTAGGTTCTTGAAATTTTCACTCTCAGAATTGCCTCTAAGCACTTTATCAATTATACTTTAGGTTTTCCTACCCTGTCACTGGTTTCCACACATTTCTATTCTGGTAAGTTGTAATTCTCTGTATTCACCTCTGTCTCTCCAATTTGGGGGTAGAAATTTGCCTTAGGATCTCTGATGGATCCAAGAGCTGTTAATTCTTCAGTTTGTTCAGCTTTTTGTTTTTATGATGAAGTGATGTCTTCCATATTCCAAGCTCCTAACATGCCAGACTAGAAACTGGATGTCTAGCACTCATTATCACTTTCTTCATAAAGGCTTTAAACATCTTTTGTTAGATTGATTGCAAGGTACTTTATAATTTATGTTGTAAATGATGTCTTTTATAAAAATATTTTTCAGCTCTGTGTCAAATTAGATAAACAACTGAATGAATCACCTTGCTAAAGTCTCACACATTCTAATGTTTGTAAACTATCCTGGTGTTTTGTTTTGTTTTGTTTTGTCTTGGCTTCTTTGTAAACAATCCTATAACCTGTCAATGATTCCATGGAAGGAATGAGAAGTAGGCTGAAAACAGCTCCCCCTTCACCTGACCAAATGTCCACATTCCAACCTCCAAATTTTGTGAATATGTTCTTTTGTATGACAAAACAGACTTTGTAGATACAACTAAATTAAGGATCTTGAGGTTGAGAGATTTTTCCTGAATTATCCAAGTAGGCCCAACATAATATGAGTCCTTATGAGGAGGCAAAGTTTTAGAGTCAGAGAAAGCATTGTGGTGATGGTAATAGAACAAGAAGTGATAATGTGATGATGGAAGCAAAGGTTGGAATGCTGTGCTTCGAAGAAAGTAGAGACCACAAGCCAAGGAATGCAGACAGCCTCTACAAGCTGGAAAAAAAAAGGAAATAAAATCTCCCCTAGAGCTTCCAGAAGGAACACATCCTGGCCAACACTTTGATTTTAGCCCCACAAAACTAACTTTGGACTTCCAACCTCCAGAACTCAGATAATAAATCTGTGTTGTTTTAAACACCATCACCCCCCCAAAAGAGTTCAATTTTTAAAAGTCTATAATCAACATAATTCAGTTTCAGGATATCTTACTCAAAAAACATAAAATTTAGTGTAAGTGGATAAAATGACTTATGAAAGATTGAATCAAAGTGCACTAACTCAGTAACTCTGAGCAAACAGGTAAGGGGGTTAGTTAATCTTTCTGAGTTCCCCTACCTCCCAGGAATCCTGAAAAGCAACAGCTGCTGGAGAAAGATGACAGAGAGCAGCCAATAGACGTCTCTCTGCCATCGTACTCCCCGTACTCCCCTTATTTCTTATCTCAACCCTTTCTTATATTTTGTTTGGGCCTGGGAAACTCCTGACCTAAAATGCTCTAGTTTTCGTACTCTTCTTCTGGGAAATGTGTTAAATTTTTTTCTAAAAATAAGTTATTTTTTATTTATTTTTTTAAATGAACACATAATGTATTCTTTGTTTCAGGATAAAAATAAGGAACACTTAGAACAAGGAGGCATAAGATATACTTAAAAATTCAAATTCTTTTTTTCTGGCATAAAAAATGTAGACATTGAAAATTAAAGAGGTACACTTTCCATCTTCAAAATACCTCGTTTAAAGGCCAAGAAAATGTTTGCAGTGCTATCTTTGTAGATTTTAACAATTTCTTGTCTTTCTGTATCACATTCTAAAATACTGTGTACCTAGCTTTGAAAAAACGGTCACCAACAACAATTGCTCGGTACTCTTTGGGCTGCAGTGGGTGGAGGAGCTTAAATTACAACGGCAGCAGCTACTGTGGCAGGTGCACAGCGGAAGGAGCAGTGCAGGGTGGCGGGATGAAAGTCACAGACTTGCAGACACAGGCCTCGGACTGGGGGGATTGCTGGGCAAGGCTCACGGTGGCATCGTCCCCCCGCGCCAGCGGCAGGGGGCGGGCCAGGTGCTACCGCCCGCCGCTTGCCCAGGTGACGCTGGCTGAGGGCGGGGCGGCCATTCACTCACCTGGTTGGTGACCTGAAATGAAGGCAGAAAACACGATTTAGGGAAAGATCTCTCTAGCTCCAGAGCCCCGATGCCCCGGCTCCTCTCAGGCCAGGACTTACCTCGGACTTAGCATCCAGTCGCGGCTCGCTGCAGCCCTCCATCGCAAGTGTCTAGGGCTCGGACCCCCGATTGATCAGGTGGACTGTCCCCCGGCCGCCAACACTTCCGCTTCCTCCTCCCGCCCCCTCGCGGCCTGGCGCACGCAGCGGAAGTGGGGGGCGCGGAAACAAACGTATTTGTGTAACTCACCCTTAGTGTTAATTAAACATCAGTTTCAAGGAGATACTCAGCAACAGGGACATTTCTGTGGGGAAAAGGTCCGAAGATTTTGGAGATACCTTGTGAAGGGAAGAACAGATTAATTTAAGGAACCCTTCTGACCTGTAGACATGGACTCTTCCCGTCTGCCCCGCCCCCCTTCCCCCCACAAGCGCTTTCTGCGCGCTCGCAAACCGGCGGCCGCACAATTGATCCCCAAGTTTAAAAAACAGCTGGACGACCACACTCTTTCGCCGTCGAAGTCTTTGGACAGGGAGATGCCAATTGGAAACTATATGATTAGCTTTTGTCACTCGGATTTACTTCACTGGCCCAGCTGCTGGTGGGGTGGGGATGCTTTTCTTTATCAAGCTGCCACTGACCTACTCCCGCTCTCAACCTGACGTACGGGGATACCTTCTCATCTGGTCTTCCTTCTTTCCCCCTACGCTTCTCACATCCGTTCTACACAGTAGCTAAAGCGATTTTTTTCTCGCCAACTTTTTATTTTGAAAACTTGAAATTTTTTGGAGAAAAGTTGCAAAAGTGGTTCAATGAACATCCGTTTATCCTTCATCTAGATTCATCAACTTAACATTTTATCCATTTGCTTTACCTCTAGGTACATACACGGTAATAAGGGCACCTCATCTCTAGATACTTGAGCATATAGCGCCTAAAAACAAAGCAATTAACTAAGTCATCACAGTATTTCCACCACGGACTCAGGAGATTTAACACTGACAAAATACTATGATCTAACACGTGGGCCAAATTCAATTTTCTCCAGTGGTCCCAACAATATTCTTTTATATATATATATAAAAGCACAAGCAGGGGGAGCTGCAAGGGGAGAGGGAGAAGCAGGCTTACCGCTGAGTAGGGAGCCCAATGCGGGGCTCGATCCCAGGATCCTGGGATCATGACCAGAGCCAAAGGCAAACGCCCAACGACTGAGCCACCCAGGTGCCCCTCAACAGTATTCTTTAAAACTGTTTCCTATCTTACCCACTGCTAGAATCTAATCAAGAACTACCCGTTGAATTGTTATCGTTTCTGCTCAATCTCTTCAAATCTAGAACTGCACTGATGAAGAGTCCTTGGGACTACATTGGTTCTTTACTGGGGGCTCTGGGGGAGGATCTGTTTTCCACTTGTTGCCAGAATGCAGGTCCCACTTACTTGCTGGCTTTTGGATGTGGGGTTTTCTGTGTCTAGAGGACATCAGCATTCCTTGGCTTGTGGCGCTCTTCATCTTCAAAGCCATTAATAGGTCAAGTCCTCCTCAAACTTTGAATCACTCTGACCTCCCCTTCTACATCATCTCTCCTCTGCTGTCTTCTTTCACCAATCTCTGACTCCAACTTGAGAAAGTTCTGTTCTTAAGGCCTCAAATCATCATATTGAGCATACTCAGATAATCCAGGATAATCTCTATGTCTTAAGGTCCATAATCTTAATTATATCTGCAAAATCTTTTCAGATAAGTACCCAGATTAGTACTTGATTGAATAATCAGTGGATGAGACTCTTAGGGGGAGGAGCATCTTTAAAATTCTGCCTACAGCGAACAACCTCATAGGATTGTTGGAGGATTACATTAGTTAATGCATGTAAAACCTCTAGAATTGTGCCTGGCATGTAACACTGGGAATCTGTGCCAAAAAGCCACTGACTCAAGGTTATGGGACATAATTAAAAGTACTAACTGACTTGGGAACATAGTCCCTGAATTAATCCAGTGATTTCTTTCCTATGAAAGAAAGTCTGGAAAGATAGAACACTGTGATGCATCCCACTGGTGTGTCAATTCCATTTGTTAGGGAGTATTTCTCTGAAGCTCTTGGTTGCCAAGAGATTATGCTCCATGGAGGGCTGCATACCCACACACACACACACACACACACACACACAAACACCTTAATTACATAAAAATGTTCCCAAAAGGTGAAAAGATGACATATATTAAAAAGTTAATTTTTGTGTTTTTCTGTATTTTTCATACACTTAATTGTTTTTAAAGATTTTAAAAATTTATTTATTTGACAGAGAGTGCACAAGCATGGGGGGAGGGGGAGAGGGAGAAGCAGGCTTCCCACTGAGCAGGGAGCCCCGTTTGGGGCTCAATCCCAGGACCCTGGGATTATGACCTGAGCCAAAGGCAGACACTTAACCAACTGAGCCACACATTCCTTTTAAAACTGCTCTTTTTTTAAACATTAGTGTCCCTTTTCAAAAATCTATTGATAAAATTTGGGGAGAGTAAAATGTCAGTAGTGTTTAGGCCAATCTCTGCCAATTATTAATCTTGTTCTTGTGCTCCTGACACTTCAGAAGCACATACGATCAACTGTTTATTTTTAAGACCTCCATCATATTAAAGATCAGAAGTTATGCAAGCTTCAGACTTGGAAAACACAGATTTTATGAATAGAGTAAAAAAATGCTAAAATTAAAGCTGTATAACTTGTTTTATTTATATTTATTTTTTTGTGATTACATGTAAGTAGGACATATAAATAAGAAAACATTTTTTGGAGCTCTTAAACAAACAAATCTAGCACTGAAAGATGTGTAGAGGATGTCTCCAAACCATGGCATGAACTCTGACCTCACAAGAGTTACAGTGTAATGAAGAAAACAAAATTGACACACATGAAGCAAGTAGTACTTCAATCTAAGCTTTTATTTTAGGGCTCTTCTGTGTCAAGTGATATTAAGCCAGCTCAAAGTAGCCTGAGCAAAATAGCCAAATCATCCTCTCACAGGGGTGGCCTCTGAAATGTAGGGGTGGAGCCAACTGTAGGAATCTCACAGAATTGTGAGATTTTAATAGTAAAAGGGCCCAATCGCTGTTTATCATCTGTGGTCTGACGTTCAGTTTGTCTGTTGGCTTATTCTCTTAGGTTTCTCCATATGTTGTAGAGGAGGGTACCTGCCCGTAGATATATGACCACTAGCATCGCTGAAGTCATAGCCTGTGGCTCATGATCCAAAGGGAAAGAGGAAGCTGCTCTTCCATCTCAATTCTTTTTTTTTTAAGATTTTGTTTATTTTATTTTAGAGAGAGAGCACACACACGTGCATGTGCATGCGGGGGTGTGGGGGCACAGAAGGGGAGGGAGAAGGAGGGGGGGAAGAATCTCCAGCATGCAGAGCCCCACACTGGGGGGCTTTTTCTTTTATCAAGGGCCTACTATGTGCCAGGCTCCAGTAATATGGAAATGGGAAAAGCACAGTTGAAAATCCCTGAAGGAGCTCATCTTTTGGCAACAAAGTTCCACTAGAATGTGTTAAAGGAAAGCAAATAGTGCTATGTGAGCACAGAGGTAGGGCACCTACCCAAGTCTAGGGTGTCATGGGGACATTCAGGAAATAAATGAGCTGATTCCTAAAGATATAAGATATAGATTAAAGAATATTAAAAAAACAGCTCCTCTGGAAGAATAAAATTTGTATATTTATAGATGTGTAAGATATTTTGTCTAGCTGGAACCAATTATTGAGAAGGGACTGGTAAGGTGAGTTAATTTGATGGATAGATAAGGAAAATGGTGGTGGTTGGGAGAGGGTTTACATTTGGCAAATACATGCACCTACCCTGAATCAGTCCCATCCCACTGTGAATGGCCTTGACTACTCAAGGAAAAGTTGGGTAGGGGAAATGCCTTACTGGGCTTCCTCAAAGGCCCCCGTTGGGGAGGGCTGATCACTAGCAGTACTGCCTTAAGAGAGACCCTCATAGGAGTCTGGAGCCCCACCCTTGGAGATTAGGTTTGAGCTCCTGGCCATAGTTAAAGGGAACAAAGGAAAAAGGATCATGACTTGAGCCAAAACCAAGAGTCAGAAATTTAACTGACTGGGGCGCCTCGGTGGCTCAGTCATTAAGCGTCTGCCTTCGGCTCAGGTCATGATCCCAGGGTCCTGGGATCAAGCCCCGCATCGGGCTCCCTGCTCAGCGGGAAGCCTGCTTCTCTCTCTCCCACTCCCCCTGCTTGTGTTCCTTCTCTCACTGTCTCTCTCTCTGTCAAATAAGTAAATAAAATCTTAAAAAAAAAAAAAAAGAAAGAAACTTAACTGACTGAGCCACCCAGGCACCCCTTCCATCTCAATTCTTAAAGAAGGACTCTGATTTGACTATTTGGGTTGTATGCCCACCTCTCGGACCAATACTAGGTCTAGGGTGATGCATTACTATTTTTTCCCTCTGCCCCCTATTGTGGCCACAAGAGGTAATTGTGTAATTGGCAGTCACTAGCAACAAAAAGGATAAGAAGATGTACTCTACAGGAGACAGAGGTGAGGATGATGCCAAAAAACTTAGATGAAAAGATACTGTAGAAACAAAAACAATAGATATCCACTAAATACATTTACTAACTCTGTACTATACTATACAATCAGTGGATGTGGTAGGCAAAATAATGGCCCCCCAATGGGTGGCTCAGTTGGTTAAGCGACTGCCTTCGGCTCAGGTCATGATCCTGGAGTCACAGGATCGAGTCCCGCATCGGGCTCCCTGCTCGGCAGGGAGTCTGCTTCTCCCTCTGACCCTCCCGACCCTCCCCCCTCTCATGCTCTCTCTCTCTCAGTCTCTCTCTCTCAAATAAATAAATAAAATCTTTAAAAAAAAAAAAAAGATAAACTCAGGCCTGTTAAAAATTTTTAAGAGTTTATTGGAACAAAAAAATCGATTCCTATCAGGCAGTGCCAAACCAGAAATGGTAGGAACACTCCACTGACAGGAGCTCAAGAAGAGATTTCATAGAGAAATGGTGGAAGCAAAGTAAGGAAGAGATTGATTGGCTATGGCTTAAAGCCGCGTTGGCTATGTGTGCTTTGATTGTCCTTAGTGTTTTGACCTTGTAACCTTGAGGCCTTCACAGGCGCAGATTTTGGTTTACTTCACAGAGGCCAGCACGGCAGTA